AATGAATCACAAATCTGATTCATTCTGCTTAAAGCTAAAGAACTGAGGATGTGTTTAACATTGTTACAGCATTTAAAAAGGCTATTCAAGGGGGGACAAACCCCAGCTCTCCTTCCTTTTAGGTTTGTTGATTTTTTTTGTGATAGATAACTGAGCAGCCTTTTCACTTTGCACGTTGCTGCCTCAAAGCAAAATAGTTAACTTCCAGATTTCTTTTATCTTGAACCTTTTAGAGATGAATAAGCTAAAAAGCAGTAGCTGATCAAAATAACAAAGGCTGGTAAGGTGCCTTTAGTTTCTTGTGAGAGTGTCTGCAAATTCCTAGTGGAATTCCAGGCCTAGTGTTGATGGAGCTGGCTAAGGATATCGATCGCCACTTGAATTCACTGAATAAATAATGGTTGCCATAGTTATTGAGCGTTCACAACTGGTGGGGAAGCACGGAAATCTCCAAAACACCTCCTGTGATAGTTTTGCTAGAAAATCACCCAATTAAATTCTGTGTCATATCATGAAAATTATGCTAGGTATGCAGCCTGGGCTCATCGTACTAGTATTTGAACCACAACTGAGCATCTCTAATACTTATTTTAGCAGCTAAAAAGAAAAGGGCGCTTATCATGTCTTGTTTCTTATGACACAAAGGTTAAATGACCCTATGTCACCGCTGCTCTAAGACATCATATACATTTAAAGCATTTTTGCTTTGTGTACCAAAGCGCATATTTGGTTTACAGTTTGCTCATGGAGGAAAATGAGACCTCTCAATCTGGAGGAAGGATGCTGATGTGTTTTCTCTTGTGCCCTCACTTTGCAGAACGGCATGGATTAAAAGAACCAAAGAAAGTGGAAGAGCTATGCAACAAGATCACTAGCAGTCTGAAAGATCACTTAGCTTTCAGTTGCCAAAACAAAGGACAACCACTCGAGTCTGCGGAGCCTAAGGTACTGGGTGTTCTCGCTGACTTGCGTTCTCTCTGCACACTGGGACTGCAGCGCATCTTTTACCTGAAACTGGAAGATTTGGTGCCAGCCCCTTCCATTATTGACAGGCTGTTTCTGGACACCTTACCCTTCTGAGTCAAATCACCCTCATGAAAGGCAAATGCCCACCAGAGCAGGCAAATGGATTGTGACTTACAGCTAATGTTTCTGCCCTCACTTTTAACAGAAAAGCAGCTCCAGCTCTAAAATGAGGTCTTTTCTGGCGCTTTGTCCTTACAACCTGAGGCCTAAAACTTACTGGCTTACTGTTTTGGGGTTGTGTTCTTTGTTTTCTTTTGTGTGATTTGGGGTTTTTTAAATTGCTAATATGGCACTTTTGGACAATGCTATCCCAGCAGCGGTAAAAGGTTAACATGACTGTTTTACATCTGTTGTTTAACACACCTCATTGTTTATGAGGAATAAAATTGTAGAAGCTGTGTGTTTGAAAACAAGAACAGCAAATAGTTGTTTGCCAGGGTAGTATGTGTTTTGAGACAATACCTTTAGCATACTTCCTGCACCAAGGGCACATACATCGGCACAATCTAAACAAAAGTTCACTTTTTATAACAAAGTACATTCAACCGAACATTTCATATAAATCAAATATAGCAAAATGACAATGGCTGTTAGCTCCCATGTTCAAGTGCAATTTTTTAAAGTGCTGTCTTACTAAGTCTTGTTTATTAACTAATTTATTTTAATATGAAAATAAATGGAAGAAATCAAGTGAGAAAATTACATGCACTAACTTACATGACAGAGTTTTCCGAACTTGATTCCATGTAGAATGACTTACTGACAAATGTATGTTGAAAGACACAGGAACAACAGTGATTCGGTTGTTCCTTAGACAAGGAAATCCAAGTAAGTAGCGACTGGAGCATACAGGGTCAGCATCAGGGATAGCTAAGTTTTAGACTTCGTTAACATAAGTAACAAGTTATTAGACAGACACAAGGTGGTTCCGAAGAACAAGCAAGTCTTGTAAAATAGTATGAATGTAAGTGCTAGGAAGGATATAGTGGGCTGCGTTTAAACATTCCGTGTTCGTACTCCTTTTTGTATGTTTATACTGTTGATGCCATATTAATATGAAATAATTTGTTGCATAGTGTCTTTATATGTATAAATGTTTGTATGCATGGTATATTGTAATGGCTTTGCCTGTATTTATTGCAATGACTGCCAGCTCATGGGAGCCCTGTTACACATAATAACTCAATGGGGTGTTCACACTGACTCAGATACACCAGTTGGAGAACTATATACATATATATAACGTGTATATATATATATGTATATACTATATGTGTGCGCGTGTGTGTGTGCGCGTGTGTGTGCGCGTGTGTCTTTTTATTAACCATTTGTATATAAAATATCTGTCAAATCACAAGCAGAGTTATTTTACAGTTTATTTGCAGTGACTTCTAAGGCAGTACTGTTTAGCACTTTGATATTAAAATCTTGCTCCTGTTTTGCTAAATTCAAATAATATTTAAAAATTTTAGTTCTAAAAAACTTTATATGCACTGTATTAAGTCAAAATTTTGTTGGTCATTTTGCTAAGGAAATTTCTGAATGTCAACCTGATGTCACTGTATCTTTTGTTAGCTTTAAACATTCTAGCTTTTGTCTTTTTTTAAACTATGCTGTTTATATGGAAATTAAATTATACAATCAAACAGATGCCAAATGAATTGCCTAATTGCTGCAAAGGATAACCCAGATATCAAGTCACTGTATGGTTTTCAAATAGTAATCTGGTATTTTATCACTTACTATGTTTGGATGTGCTTTTATGAAAAAACTATTCTTATATCAAGATTTATAGTAGTATCAATAGGGAAACAGACTTCTAGTCACTATAGTTACTATTTCTGGTTTACCTGCAGATAATATTTGAAAAAGTATTGCTTTTTGTATTGACTTTTAAGCTTATGTGCAAACATAATAGCATAATTAAATATCAGAGAAGCTAATGTTTCTTGTAGGTTGCTGTAACAAGCCTGACCAGCAAGATAAATATATTTTGACTGAATTTCAGCTTTTGTATATACTAAATACACACACACACACACACACACAGATATATATATGTGTACATACACACACACTCACACATAGGTGTGCATACAAAAACATACAGACACAAAATGCAAAATTATGGTTGCTTTTGTCTCCTTATGTAAAACATGAGGCCCCTTGAGAAATCACTTTTCTCTAGGGACAAGTCCTGCAAGGTGCTGAGCACTAGATGAGGGCTTGCAACCACTTCCTGGGAGGGGGGCCCTCAAAAATAATTTTCCCACAAATCAGCATAGTATAGTAAAGTTGCTTTTTTGTTGAGCAAGGTTTATTTTTTAAGTGGGACGTGAGTGGGAGGTAGCAGGTCCAGAGCCCCACGTAAAATTTCATGTAGCCAGTCTGCTTCAGTCTTCCACAGACAGTCTTAACTGTGATACTCTCCCAGATCACGTCACCTGTGGGATTGTCCTTCATGTCAATACACAGATTCATCCGCGAGTCAACCAGGGCCAGGTCACAACAGTAAAAGAAAGAATTAACACAGACTCAATTCACTACTTTTGTTAAAGCTCTCTCAGTGTGAACATGCCTTTGTAGAGGCAGAATTCAGGAATATATCAGGTGTTAAGGGAGAGTGCCTTGCTTTTATTTCAGACAACAGTGTTTCAAGAGTTTCTTCACTCCTCTAACAGCAGTACTTTTTCCTTTTTGTGGTGTTAACCTGTGGGTTGAAAGAAATGCTCTTGTACATATACAATGTAAATTAAACCTATTAAATTGAATAACATTTTTTTCAGAGGCCCCATGTGTGTTGAGTAAGTATGCTTAATTCTGTTATAATCTGATGTGAAATTTTTTATCATTTATGAAACATTAAAAATCTGTCTACTTGAATCGTAAAAGTGGGAAAATTGGTGAAGCATGCTTAAGAACACTGGCAATTTAATGGCTAGTCTTTAGATTGTAATAGCTTTTACGTAAATATAGTAAGACCTGCAGCATCTGGTTACAGATTCTCAATTAGATACTGAGAGCTGGACCACGGCTGTCCTAGAGGTTCAACTACAGAAGGACCAGAACATCTCCTCTCTGTACGACTCCTCCCTGTCAGGAAGAGGTTGTAATTAACTTGCACAGGCCACAATGGCTATAGAGCTCTGTCCCATAGTGTACGCGGCTGGCTAGGAAGAGGTCAGCGTTCTGATCCCATCTTCCGCCTCTTTGTACCAATGCAGCCTGCAAAAATAACGCTCCAGGTGGCATCTGCAGCCTTTTTGAAATGCACGGCCAGTTCCTTTCCTTGCTGTGCCTTTGCTTTGTAGGAGGGATCACTTATCCCCTACCAAACAAAACTCTTTAACTACAAATGCATTCTCTAAGCAGTTCTAGGAGACATCTGCCACTATTCCAATATCTCCATAACTACTAATGGTTCCAGCACACCTCTGTGAGAGCTGTTATTCTGTTGGAACTTCCCAGCTGGAGGTTACATCAAATGATGTACTGGGGTAGGCTGCAGGGTCGGCAGCTCATTCTTTGGAAACGCGACAGAACAAAATATTGCTCAAACTCTTCCAATTCGTTCGTTCTTTCTGCCTGATTTTAAAATTTAAACTACCACGCTTAAAATGCTTTATGAGAATGGCAATGAGTTTTGCGTAGTAGTACTCTATTAAGCAAAACATGCGGATCCTGGGATGCACCCATACCAGGCTCTGAATTTCCATCCTACTAGGCAAAGATTATCCTCACTAAGCTCACAAGTATTTCAATTTGTAATTACTTCAGGGCCATAAATTGTGTCCTTAGGCAGGAGAACGCAACTCTGTCCTGATCTAGATCACCTGCGTTTGTATCTTTACATGTGCCTTATAAACCTAAATCACATCAATGAGAGAGTTCTCAGAGAGATGTGATGGTTATCATTGAATCTAGCATTGGGAGTCTGGCCTGAGTCAGGAACATGATAGTGGATTTATGCAGCAGAGTCTGTCCTTGAACAGAGGGCTGGCACCAAAGCCCCCCCAAACGAGCAACTTCAGCTAGAGGTTAGACAAATCTCTTTCTAGAGCTTTCCTGCCTTTACTTTTCACGTTCCAGTTCATTTGTCCAATATAAAAAGCTAAAATTTCAGTTACGTTACAGAGAGGAGAAAGAGAAGTTATTGACAATGCCCTCTGTGAAAGCTATGAAACATATCTTCTGATTAATTATTTGTATTATAGCAGCACCTAGAGGCTACAACAGACCGCAGGACCCCATTTTGCTAGCTCCTCTAATTAGCACCTACAGGATCCACCCAGGAGAACCTTCAGTCCAAAGAGACAAGACAGACAGAAGAGCAACAAAGAAAAAATGTGTACAGTGACATGCCCAAGGGCATACAGCCTACCGGGTACAGAGCTGGGAACAAAAGGTTTTGTTTTCTGAGCTAGTGTCCAGTGAATGCTCTTATTTTGATTTCCTTTTCTTTCTCTGGGCAATTTAGGCTGTATCACATGTTATGCAAACACACACACACACACACACACACACAAAAAAGCATTAAAATTTTCAAAATAGCCCATGTGTTCAAATTGATCTTGTTTACCCTTCCTATGTGACTGTCATCCTGTCATCCAGGAGACTGTTCAAAATCTTTCTCAATCTAATATTTGGAAGTAAGTTATGATACCAGCGAGACAGTGAGTATTTAGAAAAGAGTTATTTAGCTGTTCTTTTTAATTAATAAAACTGACCATTAGTAATACTGCAAGATATGGATTAAACAACCATTATTAATGGATAAAAAGGCTTAACTCTTTTTAATGACACACTATTGATGTAGTAATTGAATGACTGGGGAGTCAATTAAACAAATTCTTAACTGTTAATGGCATGAACTGTATTCCTGATCTACTTTTTTGAGCATTACAAATATACTGATTTGTCAAATATAAGAAAAAGGAAACTTATTTACTATACGGAAACACTTTCAGCAATTTTTTTTTTCTTATACGGTAGGCAGCTTTACTTTTATAGTCATAACATGTAATGTTCTGGCTGCATTTGCTTATAGGAATAATCTGAATACATGAAGTTGTGACACTGCTGTGAAAGTTAGATGAGATCAAGAGTCTGACTTGAACTCATAAAAGCAAGGATTTTCTTTAAAGACAAGGGTGGAATTCCAGCTGTAATTAGATCTATTATGTATATCTCAAGATACTTACGTGTGTATAATGGAACTATTTTAATGTAAGTGCAAGATTCCGACGACATGAAAGAGATAAGACCATGGAAAATACCAGCTTTTCCATTGTTTAGTATTTTAGATTGTTTATCATTTTTTCTTAAGAGAACACAGAACTCTGGGCTTGTTTATGTGCAATTTTATCTCAAAGAAATAAATAAATAAGCTAAGTGAAATTTAAATGAAGAAATGTGTTTAAGTAGCTGAAATATCTCATATAGCCCCCAGTCTTTGCCCTGCTAAATAATACGTTCAAAAAAACTCCCTCCCCACTAACTTCCACTGTGGTCTGAAGTTCTTCTTTCCTGTGAATAAGTACTACTGCCCAATGAAAGGCAATTAAAGAGATAGTGTGATACTGAGGAAACTTGCAAACGTATCAGACAGAAAATAGAAATTAAATTATCTTTCCCGGGGTCTTATTATTTATCTTGCTGTGTTTCCTAATTAATTGACAATATTGATGTTTACACAGGGATTTGCTCCTTTCCAACTTTGTTCGATCCTGTGAAGAAGTCAAAATGCTGCATTCGTAGTATTGCATTTATTTCCATGGCAACAGTTAGTGATTTCACAAACACTAATTAGAGTTGGCAACCTGGAATATATTCAGTACAGGCCCATTTAATTTTCCCTCTTTTACCTAGCTCTCATTATAACTTACTTGAATGATTGACTTCAGGTGTTCCTGTGCAGTTTTCTTCCCCAAGTTCCCCAGATGCAGATAATATCTTATCTGACTCCAGCTGTCTTTCTTCACTCTGTGCTCACTTCCCCTCACACACAGTTAAAACGTCGCTGCCGTGCCTACCTGCATTTCTGTTGAGCTCCAGTTCTTACACTTCAAGTTAGTCCAATTTTCAGTACAAGCAAGGTTTGGTGTTCTACACCAGCATGTACAAAAATAGCAAAGAAAGGTCCCCAGGCTTAAATGCACGTTCACATGAAAACTTTCTGCGAGTTACCTTCAAAGGCGGAAGCAAAGTGGTGCTTGAGGTGGGGTGCAAGCAACATGGCCTTCTGCTCACTTAAGCTTAAGTTCTGTGAACATCCAAAGAGCACGAAAAATATTTTTAATTAAAGCATATGAAGATATTTGAAAACATTTGATTTGCTAAGTAGCAATAAGGAATCTCCGAATCATGTATTATGGTTATCCGATTGAGTTAATGTCTTAACTTACCCAGAAGCCTTTACCAAACCCAGTGTTGCTAGTGAACTTTTGAGCCTCTCTTAAAGCACAATGTGTTAATTTGTTAATAAAGAAAGAAGACAAACTTATTGGGCATTCCCAGGATAAGAAAAAGGTGAGTGCAATGACCAAAGCAAAAGAAAGACTTCCATTCTGAGGCTAAATTGAGACCTGTCCTAGCTAGTTGTTAAAGCACCGTCCCAATAACAAAGAAGTTCAATTAAAATCAAGTAGCAAAAATATGCCAGTATTACCCTAATTTGGAAAGTCAGACAATAAACAAAAACCAGGTAGAGTATAGTCATACTCCAAGCCACTCTAAATGACTGGAAAAGAATAGAAAAGCGATGGAACCACCTGAAGCCTCCTCATTAGGATACAGGTGAAGTCTGTTGTTTGTTCCTAATTTAGAAAGGTTTTTGTATGTTATTAGCAGGAAAACTAGTATTTGAATACCGAATTCTGTGTTTGACCACCATTTTATTTCTGCATATAATGAGGAGGTAAAAACCCTCTTAAATTAATGAAAAATGTCTCATTACTGGTAAATTACTGGATTTTTTAATGAGATTTTAATTGAAACCAGGTAGAATTGCTACATTTGATAAGGAGAATTTATTGAAATAAATAGTATAACTTGTTAAAAAAGCAAACAAGGTATTTATTTTATCAGGAAAGGCATTCAAGTAAAAAGTGAAGCATCAGAAGAAATTCTGTATTTCAACAAATGAAAAGATAGGCTAACATGAACACATAAAGAAAGTCATTACCAAAAATCCTTTTGTCTCGTGAGTATATATTTTTCCTCCTGCTTTTGGAGAAAAGACTGAGCTGTGTCAGCTTGCCTAGTTTCTGAAAATACTTCCTGCCGCACTTCACTGAAAGGGTCAGTTTTAAATGCAGCACTAATACCTTAGAAAAATTGAAACCTGGAGCCCTCAAGTTTTGGAATTTTATTTTCATCACTTAATTTTGTTTCCCAAACCCTGAATTTCAAAGGGCCTAATCAAACTCATGGTATCATTCTTCGTAAGTTTTGTGAACTGGGCCAGAGTCAAGAATTTCCACACTGAGTAATTTTATTAGATGAGGTTTCCCGCTTGCTGTACAGAGCCTCGCAATATTTAGCACAAACATCTGCTTTTCATCTGATTTTGAAAGGAAAGTCTTGTGGATTGCTGGCCCTTTGAAATTAAGGAGTTTGGGAACAAATTTAAGCCATGAAAATAAAATTTCAAAGCTGGAGGGCTCTGTGTTCAAATTTTACAGAACTGATCTCCTGAGATAACTGCAATGGAAAGTATTTCCAGCAACTGGGCAAACTGACACAATTCAGTCCTTTGGCAAAAAGAACCAGGACTCGATCCATTACACATTCAGACATGGAATTACATCCATTTTTGATTATAGGTGATAGTTTTCCGTCTAGAAGATTTTCAATAAAAGACTTCTCAATATAAGTTATCAAGGATGGCTGAACCT